AAAACTAAAATAAGAAATTAAATAATAAGTAATTAAATAATAAACGTAATTTTTTATCGATTAGTATGAAAAATTAAATTAATAGTGTTTTATATAAAATGATAAACAGTTTTAAATAAAATGATAAATAAAATAATATTTTTTTACCCAAAAATTAGAACAATAACAATAATAATGGCCTTCTCAAAATATGAACGCACTAAAGTGTTTTTTCGTGTAATCACTTAGTGGCTTCTTACGTCGGGAAAAATTCCCCACGGACGTCAAGAAAGTTCAACAATTCGGAAGAGGCCTGGAAAAGAGAAGTGCAATAGTCATGTTCCGCAATAATCTGAATCGATCCAAAAATCAGCTTTTAAGAAGAAAATGTAAAAATATTTCCATACTTGAATTTAATCGACTTTCAATCGGTTTCATATTTCGAACTCTGTTGCACTTTTATGATCTTTTTGATTTTTCAAGTAATTTACGTTAAAATAAATTACAATATTCCAAAACGGCGATGTTTCAGTACATTTTTTATTGATATTTATATCCAACTGTTTTGTATTAAATATGTATCTATAGAATTTTTATAACCTTATCATTTCGGGATAATAATTATAATATATTTCAATATAAAATGTCTTTTATCTATATTATTAGTATTATGGAATGTAACATTTTCTATATTTTCTGCTTTCTACATTTCTTTATAAATATTTTCTTTATTTTATGTTATTAATATTTATCATTATTACTATTCATAATTGCTATTACAATCGTTTAATGAAGATAAAACGTGAAAAGCGTTAGATTACACTATAATCGTGATAATAACAGGTGGCGTGTTGTCTCGGAATATATCGAAGGGAAAACACAAGGAAGAAACAGAACAATTCGTAGCTTTCGATTATTTGCCCGTTATCAATTGTCATTACTCTGTTATTGGTGATTCCAACAACTCTCTCAATCGTTGGAAAAACAATGGAATTGATTTCTCGTCGCGCGATTCCACTAGTATATCGCTGCTAAATTCACTGCATGGCTATCAATTTTCCTATATATTCGAGAATCGAATCTCTCTGTTCCCATTATTCGGCCGAATAATACAAGTCAATACTCTACTTCTCCCTCTCCCTCTTTGCTTGGCCTCATTACGAGGCAAATCCTTGACCTACTTTTCCATTCTTGCCTACCAAGCTTTTTCGATTCTATTTGTCGCCGTCTGACACGTTTCAGGATGTCACTACTTGTACTGCGTGAATATTTTCTTAAGACAAATTGAATTTGTCAATGTAACAGGCATAGGAGTAAATTAAAAAAAATTTTTTAATTATACTTTAGACGATTTACAGATTTTAGAGTATAATATAAAAATTCGTAAGAAAAATTTATTTATAATTTTATATTACATGTACTATTTATTTATAAATTGAAGCGAAATATTTTCAATCGTTCCATTTACATATAATCTCTATATGATCTCGTGCTATATTATCACTGATTACAATTTATCGATCTAATGCAGAGTCCATTACATAATTTTGAATAAATTGAGGTGCAGGCTATTGCACAAAAAAGTAGGCAAAAGAAATCAAATATCGATTTGTGTAGCAATTATGTTGTGCCAGCCTTTGTTAAAGAAAGAGAGAGAAACGCGGATAAAAGTTTTAAAGGAATTGAACGACGTAACGGTCAATGGGAAATTATCTCGATATGTAAAGAACTTTAGCCATTCATATGGGTAGAAAGAAAGAAAGTTGACCTTAACCGATAGCCATTCTATTCTTAGTTAGTGCAGCTAATACGAAACACATAGTTCGATTTGTATCGATCAATGATGGTAAAGACGCGTAAAAACACGACGGTATTATAGCGTTCTGTAGGAGTAACATTTATTTTCCTTAATTAATTTACGTACTTTTTTTACGGACATTGTATTAAAAATTTTTTTAAATTGAACGGATCTGTGTGTGTGTGTGTGTCTGGAATTTTATATAATTAATAACAGATGAAAATAGAAAGTTGGACAAATAAAAATAGATAGTTATAAGAAACTCTCTATTAAAAATTGTATATATATGTTTCGAAATCTTTTTTAAAAATCCGATTAGAATCGATTTTTTATTTTATTAAACTACTCTTATTTTGCTTAACAATAAAAATTTTAAATAAAATTTCAGAAATATAGAAATATAGAAATATATGCTTTCCAAAGTTATTTGGCATTTATTGAAATTTTCCATTTTCTCGATTGAAAAGAGACCCGGAAATGGAAAAGTTCTAAATAGATTCCTAGTAGATTTAGAGCAGATTCTGAAGTAGATTTTATTTTTAGCTTTATGGAATTGTGGCATTTTAACATTGAGCGTTCAATACAGTTATCTCTACATTATTTGCCTCCTTTCAAATCGATAAAGGGAGAAGAGAAATCGTATAACAACGATTCAAGAAAGATCGCGACGAGGGGGAGGATCGTCCCCCTCTGCAAGCCTGTAAATCCATTCTTCCCTTGTCGATGGAAACAATTTCGACGTCAGGTGCATGTAGGTCACACCGACAGAAAATGAGATACTTCGTCTCTTTCTTTCCGCTACAATATATAGATCGTTGCGGATATACTGTATTTTCCAACTAAACTGTACGCGTTTGTATAATTATAAAATAAAGCATATTCTTTTTTATTCCTATATTATTATATTTATTTAATATTTAATTACATTGCAATATTTAATCACATTGTGTTATTACAATATCATACGACAAATCATAATCATATTTATCAGTATATAATCATGTAATATATGATTGTATGTCGATAAATATAGCTCGATATACGTATTTAACAATAAATGTATCATGTGAGATATAGAGAAAGGAGCTTTTTTCATAAAACATACCTATTACGTGATCTGATTATACAGCAATATTTATTGTATTCAAGTGTACTGATTAAAATATATAAGGAGCAGACTTTCAAGATGCGTTTTGTCCAAAATTTCATTTTTTTAGTTAGAGGTGTCGTAGTGTTCAGTGTTGAAAGATTCATATATTATAAGCTACTCTGAGATGTTCAGAAAGCATTTTTTTTATCATTAATTTATATACTGAAAAAACATATAGCGAATTCGATTGGACGCATTCAATGCGCACAGGTGCACATTAAAGCCGTCGTACAAAAAATAACGTAAAGATATGTTTGTACATAAACATAGAATCGATTAAATCCTGAAATATTCAATACATTTTATTGTAGTATTAGATAAAATATGTATTTTATAATTCGAAATATTTGCATTTCACTTTTATATTCAAATTAAATCCGTGTACAGTCAGAAGCAATGAGGTTGCGACACTTTTTTTTCTGTCGAGTTTAAGAATACGCGATCAAGTTCAGGATACGAATCTCATGTGCAATGAATGAATATGATCATATGAGGTTTGTTAAATATGGTATGTCTTATTCATTACACGTGAGAAGGATTCGCATCCTGAACTTGATCACGTATTCTTAAACTCATCGGAAAAAAAAGTGTCGCAACCTCATTGCTTCTGACCGTTCAACGGCTTTAATATGCACCAGTGCGCACAAATGCTTCTAATAGAATTCGCCAATAGACATTTTGAAGTGCATTATATTTTTTAACTAGAGAACAAACAAAATGCATTTGTTTAACATTTTTAGCAATTGTTTAGCAATTTTGTTTAATATTTCATATCTTACTGATTGGCATATTGTTATTTTTTGTAAAGAGTGCGTATTTTTTTTGTGTGCATAGTTTTCTCTTTCTCGTTTTCTGATAATTACAAATTTTGGACAAAACGCATTTTGAAAATCTGCTCCTCATATATAATCTTTCTCATGTTCTATTATATCTTTATTGAACTAATCTATATCTATAAGAGTTTTTCTTAATTTAAAAAAATTTTAATTATATATACAGGGTGTTTCCAAATTAAATGGCAAAACTTCGGGAGCGTGTAGAGGAGTAAAAAACTAAGAAAAAAAGTCCTATAGACATATGCTCCTTTTTGCTTTGTTTCGCAGGAAATCACGAAAAAAGAAAAAAATATATTTAATTTATTATTTTAATTATTTTATTTATAAACTTTTTAATGAAGATTTTGTTCGAAATGTGCACCTCTTGCAGCAATACAAGCATTGCATCTGTCAAACACGGCTCTTGTAGCAGCCAGGCACTGTTCTTGCGATATTCTGTTCGCTGCAGCTACGATACGATTTCTCAAATGTTGCTCTGATTGAATAGGCGAAGAATAAACTTCTTGCTTCAGAGTACCCCATGCATAGAAATCTAATGGCGTTAAGTCGGGCGAACGAGTTGCCCAATGTACTGCTCCTCCACGTCCAATCCATCGTTGTGGGAATTTTCTATCTAACCAGGTTCTAGCGACTCTGCTGTAATGAGCAGGGCATCCATCTAATTGAAACCACATTTCAGTACGTTGTTGTAATGGGATGTTTTCTAAATAGTCAGAAAATTCATTCTCCAAGAAATTTAGAAAACGGTCCCCATTTAATCTTGCAGGTAAAAAAAACATTTTTTTTCGATTTCTCTGAAACGGAGCAAAAACGAGCATATGTCTATAGGACTTTTTTTCTTAGTTTTTTACTCCTCTACACGCTCCCGAAGTTTTGCGATTTAATTTGGAAACACCCTGTATAGTAGATTTTTGCATAACGTGTATGTACACTGAGAAAAATGATCTGGTTAGATTAAATAGTAATTCTGGTGGAAAATGGACGAATCAGAATTTTCTGGTTAAATTTATTAGAATTCTAGTATTATAGATTTTATCAGAAATATTGTATCAACCGGAATTCCGGTTATCTCAATTAGAATTCTAACAAATTTAACCAGAAAATTTTTTCAGTATATATACGTTAATAAACTAAAGAAAATTTAATTTGATACGAAACGAACAAAATTCTGAGGATACTAATTTTGCTTTATGACTTATTTCAATGCAGTAATATTATAAATGTCTGTTTGATACAGGTATATCATCACTGCTCTGTGTGACTCGTGCGAGAGCGGCGAAGTGGTGGTAGCGGTGGTGTTCTGGGTAGGCTATTTCAACAGCGCTTTGAATCCGCTGATCTACGCTTATTTCAATCGCGAATTTCGCGCAGCTTTTCGCAAAACCCTCGAAAGCTGTTGTCGCGCGATCGGACCGGTGCGCGATCTGCGCCAGGTGCATCGCAAACAGGATCTCGTGCACAGCAACGCCTCGTCCGAGCTGCATGTCAACAATCAGTTGCGCAATAGCGAGATGACCAACGTCCATATTGAGGCGTGTATTTAAATGGATTACGCGATCCGGTGAAGTGAAAGTAACGGCAAAATCCTCCTCCAGGAGCGCTTTCTGAAGAATAGAAAAAAATAGGTAAGACCGGAGCGACTATAGGACTGATAAATCCCAAAAGTAACAATCACGCAGATAAAAAAATTTAATCCTTTCTTTTCCTATATACAAAAATGTTTAACAACTCGATAGTTATAAGAAAAAGTTATTAAAAATTCCATTTGAAAAAAAATTTTATGTCAATGAAATAAAAAATAATTGAAATTTTTTATCAACTTAGTATTATGGACATATTGGTATTCACTATTGCCTTTTATCCATGTCTTATTTTTATTGTCTTCTTTGATTATCTCTTCGAAATAAGATTTGAAAAAGAAATTCAGGGATATATATATATATAATAAACTATAAAAAAGAGTAAGAAAACATTTTAAAGAATTTATCATTGAAACTAAGACTGTTTTAAATTCGTCAAAGACGTCAACTAATTAAAGTTAAGATACGCGACGTCATATATTTGCATCAAGTATTCGCAAATACCAAATACGATTTGCAAGAGAGAAGTGTATAGTCCCAAAGAGAGTGTGAATAGAGTATGTGCGCCATACTCGTGCCTATTTCGTCCTGCTGCCGACCTATTTTAAGGGACACGTTCGCCGCTCGTTCCCAAGGGTCTATTTCTGTCACGGCAGCGTTCCATCAGGTCCGTAAATAAGGCTCCTGTCCGTTGGCAGATTGATGTTCCGATTCAGCAGTAATATTTTAGCGGCGGTCCGATAACGTCGAAATGAACTTTCCAACTAACATTTGATTCGTGCGCGAACTTCTACTTTACCCATGATTGACATCATATATCTATCTTTGCAACAATTAAATTAAATTTCTATCCATCTGAAATTGAATAAATAATATAGTGAACACCAATATAACACTATAATGAATTATAAATGTACAATATGTTAGCAAGGTTGGACTTTCGAAACTTGTGTATAAAAAGGTCATTCTTTTTCATTCCATCATTTTCGCTTTTAATCACTTATAGCGAATTCGATTGGAAGCACTAATGCGCACTGCATTATAAAGGTGCATATTAAAGCCATTGTATACTGATTTAATTTGAGTATAAAAATGAAACGCAAACATTTCGAATTATGTAAACGTATTTTACCTAATAGTACGATAAAATGTATTGAGTATTTTACGATTTAATCGATTTCTAAAGATATGTTTATTTATAAACATATCTTCATGTTATTTTGTGTACAATGGCTTTAATGTGCACCAGTGCGCACTGAGTGCGTCCAATCGAATTCGTTATTATACATTTTTTGATAGATTAGCCGAAAAATTAATCTGTAAAATTAAGAGTTATATGTGCGTTTAAAAAAAAAAGATTTTTTTCTGAAAAGAGAAATTAATTTAAAATTAATCGAATAATTTACAAGAAAGCATAAAAAGATTAATTAAAAGGATCTGGTGGTTTGAGATATTTCTGTAGACGCTGTGATTGGAGGAGAAGCAAAGGGAATAATAAAAAGACCAAAGAAAAGAGTTAAAAAGCGGGAGATAAAGCCGTTTTACTCGTTTAGGGGATCACTTTGTACATAATTGCGCTACGATAACGCGTTTCGTTATAATCAAAGAGATTTATAATAACGAGCTCTTAGCGTTAAATGAGGTATCATTGTAAATACGAATCTACGTTCGTTTAGGAGTAACTTTGTGTATAAATGTTAAAGCGTATCATCCCTCCCGCAAGACAAATCATTTTATCGAAATAGATAAATTTATGAGGGCATCTTAATAAAGACAAATACTAAAATGCCAAAGATGAAACAGAATATATTATATATATACATATACACAATATATTTATATGTACAGCAATAAGACATAAGAATGTTAATGATGTTCCGTTATTTGTTAATTGTGTAATATATATTATAAATATATATTATATATTTATTATAATTTATTGTTTATTATAATGAATTTAACTTAAATATTCGATTCTAATTTGAGAGAGAATCGAATCAAATTTTAATCTTTAGAAATGTTTAAAGGAAGTGGAGGAATGTGAGTTATTTTCGTTGTATGTTACGTATATCGTCCACATCACTTAATTATTTGTTTAAAAGTCTCGTGCAAGTCTTAGAAAATAATGAAATCATCGAAATTATACTGGATCTCAATATCATTTATCTCAGCAAGGACGTTTTGTTCAAAATTCTTATTTTTCAGGAGAATAATAGTCTATTTTAGAAATAGTATTATTTTAAAAAAATCATTATTTTATTTATAATACTGCTAAATGCTTTCTTATCTTTAATAAGATTTGTGACATATGGCAGCATTAATAATGAACAAATTAATAATAAAAGGACATAATAATACATAATTTTATATATTATTTAATTTTACTATATACATATGTGTTACTGATCAATCGATAAACTATTCTATTACATATTTTATTATCATCTCATTCGAGATGTCTATATCGGTGTGTGTGAATAAAATAGGCATATATTTTTAAATATTTTTTTTAAATAAAATTTTCTTTTTAATTAATTTGCTCTATTATCAGATGGAACACATTTTGGAAAAAATTGATGATCACAAGGTGATCACGAAATAATTAATTGATTTTACTAAGATTTAATTGATATTTCAGTTTTTCTCTTTGTTTCTTCTATTAGCTTTCTTATATCATCGACTGACAGATCAAAGAAAATAGTATACGTATATAGTTATGTATACTTCAGAATGCAGAACAATCACTAACATAAATACGGTCGAGCGTGGACGATATCGTGGACTTTTTCACTGCGATTATAACAAATTAATAAAAATTAAAATTCAAATTACATGGCTCTAGCACAGTTCATAATAACTTAAATAAGTTTAACTTTGAAAGCTGTTATAGAAAAATGAGAGAGAAAGAGAGAGAAATTTATTAAAATATTTAAAGAAAGTAAATCTTCAAGTTATAAGGTTTATTTAATTTTAAATATATTTTAATATAAAATATTATAACATTTAGAAAGAGAGGTTAAAAAAAATTTCAATTTTGGCAATAGGTAGAATATATATTTTTGTTTCTCAATAAAAACTGATTTAACATACAAAAGATTTATATAAATTTCAACTTTTTAATTTTTTTTTATTTATAATCATTTTTACATATATTTTAATTTCTTATCTCTTTCTTCTGTATATATTTACGGGGAACGAATTATCGGATACGAAATCGCTACGAAATCGTTCGCCGGCTCGATCCGTTCGTATATCACGTATCTGTTAGGCTACATATATAAAGGCCATAAATGGCCTCCTAATGTAACGTAATATGCAACATTGTAAATCGATGTTTACGAGACGTTTCTGGCGTTAAAGCGATTTTGCGAATAATCAAGCTGGCAAAGCAGTTTTATCGTAGGAAAGAAAAAGGAAATAAAACTGATTTCAGATGATTTATAATTCGCGAAAGGGTTACGAAAAAATTTCAAGTATTAAAAAAACAAAATAAAAGAGTAAATATGTACATATAAATTTATATAGTTGATGTCTGGAATTATTGATCGTCTGAAATAGATCTTAGACAAAAAGATATTCTCAATGGAAAAGAAACACTTAGTATTTTAATGACAATAGCATGAATGAAAAAATTTATCGTTTGTTTTAAGGGCGCTTAATTTCCATAAACTTTAGATTGATATCAAGAACGTTTTGTGGTTATCTTGAATGCATGATCACATTGCGGAATTTACAGGTTGCGTAACTATATTTACTGCAGTGTGTGTGTGTGTGTGTGTGTGTGTGTTTTCATGGATCGTAATACGTAACGAAGAGGCTAATTTGCTACGAGATTGTCACATGCGACTAATTTGCGGCAAATATTGCTAGATATTAGAGGAATTAATATTGTAAAATATAGGTATATTCATTTTCTCATAAATTTTGAATGTCTTTATGCATATGTATTTTGATATAATAATTTCAATAATTTGTTATGCGCATATTATTTATTTCAGAACATTAACAATCATTTATTAATTTAATGAAATAATTGTCAACATACGTTTTAAGTACATATTATTATGAATAATCAATAATCAATTTTTACTGTACCTGAAACAAAATCAATCCAAAAGTATATATAAATGCATTTTCTTTAACTGTATATACACATATAGTCTTCTAAAAAATTATTAATTTTGTTATTATACATACGTATATATACACAAAACTCGTTATTATTAATGATAAAAATATTTTTAATTTTATATTTCCTTTAAAATATTTATGACATATTTATTTATTATTAATTAACATTTAATAATTACGTATATTTTAATTAACAATTATATCATTATAATTTAATTAAAAGTTGTATGCATTGCTATGCATCCGCCATAATAAGAGCCTAATTCGTGATATATTTGCAAAATGTTGCAAATAGCATTTATATAACATGACGAAAGAATACGTATGTATGTGTACGAAATAAGATCTTCATGTATCGTATGGGTACAGAACGCGAATGTGTAAACTGTGGAGATGTGGATCTACTGTGTAGAAAATTAATAACAATGTTTTAAAGAAATTTGCATTTCTCTTGATCCCTATTTACCTTTATTAAATTTACCACCATATTTTGTTTCCTGTGAAATTCCTGTATAGGAATAAATTCCTTCTCCATTAAATAACAGATTTAATTACATTTTTGTTTAAAATGAGGTTATGTTTTTTAAAACGTTGAAATAGTTCTAATTAAATTTTAATCTTCTACAGTGCTTCTACGTTGTGCAAGCTGTTTTCTTTAGAAAGTCTGATAAATTCCCGTAAATATCACAATTTTTTAATTTGACATGAAAAACGAGGATAATTTAACTAGTTGAAATTAAAAATGTGTAATTTCATGATATTTTCGAAAAGAATTAATAAAAACTATTTTGATCAAAGATAAAATTTAATAATAATTAACAAAAGTTAATAAACAATATAAAAATAATATACAAATTAAATATTAATACAATTGGAAAACTTTTTATTTATAAAAAAAAATTAAAAAGCTCGGTACAAAA